CTGGTCTCCATCTTGGTTACTTGGAGACCTCAGTTCTACCTTTCTGGCTGTGGCCATCTCCATTTCTAGTCCAGTCCTGAGCTTCCCACAGGCATTCCAACACCTTCACTAATGTGTTTAGGATGAGATGACCCTTTTGTCTTAAAAACAAACAAACAAACAAAAACAAAACAACAAAAAACAGCAGCAAATTATTTGTACCATAGACAAGCTTTTTCCTGAAGTGTTAGTTGTTTTAGTAAGTGCAAAGGGGTGTACAAATGCATTCATATGTACATTTGTGCACATGCCAAGTATACACATAAAACGCAAGTAAATACTAGAACATTCTTTCTTTGGATCACTGTGTTAGGATGTGAAAATGCAAACATGTCAATAGAATTAGGTTTCTTTTTGCTGTTGTGTACCAGGCATACATAAAGTAGATGATGTTTATGTGGTTATATGGCTAGCTGTAATGTATATATGGTGTGCATCATTTTTTGGATGCACATCAATTCTTTGGAATAGCTAACATATATGTGTTAAAATTTCTTTATCTTATTAGGTTATCGTCTTGATAATAAATTCTTTCCTTTGAGGTGACCACTAACTTCTGGCTACTCTTGAAGGTAGACAAGTGTATCTATTGTGTCCCTTGAGGTATTATATTATGCCCTCAATGCCCTTCTAAATTATGGATTCAATCTAAGGTGGTTTGGTTGTTCCTGCTGGAGCCACAGAATTTGTCCACTGTTATCCAGGTAGTGGAAGTACAGACCTGGAGGCTGGAAGCATCTCTCAATGCTAGAAAGCTTGCCCAGTAATGCATGATACTCTGGGTTGTATTTACAGTATCACAGAAAAGACACATGAACATATGTGTTTGTATGTGTGTATAGACAGACAGATACCTCAGTTTTCTGTGATTTTGTTAAATGGGTATCTCTTTTCCTGCTCTAATCCTGGACAAGTTAAAACAGGTGTTTCTGTGTCTGTACAGACTGTGTTCTCTCTTTCCTAGTTCATCTAGAAATTACAGTTTTATTGCTATAAATTCTAAAGCCTTAGTCCCAGCCTCTAAGATACTGTTATTTTCTAGTTGTCCAATGTAGTGTGTTTAACTTGTGCTCATAACTGTGCTTATGTTCCCTCTTCATTTGTAGCATCTGCCAGATTTTGCTATTTTAAAAGTTATTGGTATAGTTTTAAATTGATACTATTAAAGTTAAGTTTATATCAGACATTTCTCCATATTCCAAACAGAAGGGAACCATTTATAAAATAGCTGTCTACCTTGGTGAAGACATAGGTGATGACCTTTGCAGTGTTACCATGTTCGGTTTTCTTCAATTTTTTGTTTGTCCATGTAGAAACTCAGGTGCACTTAAATTTTTTAACAGGTGGTGTTTATAACTATATGCAAAACTTTTGCCAGTTTAATTTTGTATCCATAGATTAGAATAATCATATTAGAATTTAAATTTTGGATACAGTTCATGTAAGCATAAATATAAAACTCATAAAAATCATTTAATTGACTAGGCTAGATGAAGTTCATGAGATCATTAATTTAATGCAATTTTCTTAGTGTGGTACTATTCTGTCTGTAGATGATAGGATCATCAGAATGCTTAATTTACTACTGTACCTTTTTGAATTTGCTGTGTGGTTTGAATTTCACCCATAATGTTAGCTATATCTGTGAGTTGCATGGTATTTGAGAAAAGAAAGAAAAATATGACAGTAGCTGATACATGTGGTAATAACATGTAATAGTTTCTTGTGGGAAAGAGAAAAGTAAATAGGAGTGACTCAAAGGGAACTTCACCCTGTTGTAGAGAATGTAGATTCCTAGAGATAGACATGAATATGCATTACCCACAGCCTTATGTGTTGGTGCAGTGGTGGTGAACACCCTTAATGCTAGCACTGGAGGGCAGAAACAGGCACATCTCTGTGAGTTCAAGGCCAGTCTAGTTTACAGAGTGGGCTCCGGGACAACTAGGGCTATACAATGAAACCCTGTCTTGAAAACCAAAATAACTAAATTAATTAATTAAACAAAATAAAATTTAAAAAACCACCATGGGATACATGTTTAATATGCTTATGGATTTTCTAAAGTAAACTTTCTGTAGTTGTGATCTTGATTAGTAAATCAAGAAATACATTTTGTTCTTGTGTATAAAGGCAACTTTTAGCATCTTCTAGCTCAAGCTTACAAGTGGGGGATCTTACTCTATATAATTTCAAGCTTTATTTAGCTGACATTTTCAGTATTCTTTCAGTGTCCTTTGTATTTGATGTGTATGTGTTAGTTTTCTTGTTGAACTAACTACTAACTAGTAAGATCATAACAGAGTTAGCTGTTGGGTTTTTTTTTTAATTTTTGATTATGTGATTCAGATAAATTATATAGATATGAAGTAGTCTTCATATTAAATTTCAAAGTGCATAGCCTTGGAGAGAGATTACCTTGCATATTATGTGGCCAACTTCGTATCTCCTTTAAAAATACTTAACAAAAGTCATTACGTTGATTTGAAATGAGTATTTATTAAATACAGTTATAACTTAGGAAGTATGTTTCATTTAAATGGTGCCAATCTAAAATTTCGTTGATTTAATGGTTTGAAAGAACTATAATAAATTTTTAGTTTAAGTACTTTCAACGTACTATCTACAACAGTAAAATATTTGAGTGCTTTGATGTTTTATAGTAGCCCTTTCCCAACAAAACTATTTTAAAATTTCTTCAAATTCATTTTAGCAGATCCTAGGATATATCAGTGAAGAAATTAATATTTTTCTGTCAAATTTGGACATAAAGTTCTGTTAAGTGTTAAGTGTAAAAGTCTTCTCTAAAATAAGCATAGCTTTATTAATTTAATATCTATAAAGAAAAAATTTCAGATTTGTTTTCATAGGGTCTGCTTTTCTAAAATGAGGAGTTTTTATAGAATTGAAGTAATGATTTTTATATAAGGTTGGTAAGTCCACCTCAGTCCTTCTCAGGTCATCATAGCCAGGACAGGTCAGCAGCTTGCAGCTCTGTGCAAGTGTAAACAGTAAAGTATCTGAAGGACTGGCTGAGCCATTCTTTACTGTCAAAGGGTACCTGCATTGCAGTTTCTGGATGTTTCACTTTAAATAGTACGCGCATGTGCACTCTCTCTCTCTCTCTCTCTCTCTCTCTCTCTCTCTCTCTCTCTCACACACACACACACACACACACAGACACACAGTAGATATTTCACTTTAAGTAGCACGCGCGCACACAAACACACACACATGCACACACTAATCCACTTACCTTACTGTCTTATTTTCCTACTCTTGGAGTCCTTAGCCTGAGAGAAAATCCGAGTGCCATGGAGTTTAATGCTCGATCCAGTGCTTAGATCACTTCTAAGCCACAGGCTTTCTTTATGGTTCTCATACAGTTAACTGAAAGCCAAACAATGAAGTCAAATACGTTGGAGATAAAGTTGTACGTTTGCTGCTACTACTATCAAATGAGAACCTTGGATTGCTTACTTCATACCTGGGGAATCTGGTTTTGCCTGTTCCTAGCCTGTCCCTTAGATTAAAGGGAGATGGCTTTCACCTGAGCTCCTTGGTAACAGGATGTCCTTGTTAAATTGTTCACCCAGAGTGTGAGTACATTCTCTGCACCTAGTCTACACTGCCCGCAGAATGCCTGACTTCTGAAAAATGCTGGTATGCCTAAACAAAGGTTTCTTTGTAGATTTCAAACCCTGAAAGGACAGAATGAAGTAGGAACGAGTAGGATGGAAGGAAGCTGAGAGCGCTGAGTTTTAGATTCTATTCATGATCAAACTCTCTTTTACTTGGAAATGCCACAGAGCTTAATTCACAGAATTACAGAGACTTTTGTCTTCCAACCTTCCCCCTCACTTTTCTTTGTATACTGTTAGTTTTACTTTAGAGTAACGTTCTGTCATTTTCAAAGTAGAATAATAGTTATACAGTACTACTGTGTATTTATTATGTCAGTATAGAAATTCAAAATTAATTTCTACCAGGAAGAAATGTTTAACAGAGAAATGGAATGAAAAATCCTTCATAGTATTAAAATTCTAAATCTTGACTTTTTGAGTATTCCTGCCCCCACTGGAGGTGTGGGATGGACATTGCTGTAATCAAAGTAAAATGTAGATTGAGTCTTTGAATTCCCACTTCCTCAGTTCTGTTCCTTCCCTCTCCCCTACCAAATAAAACACACCATCACAGTACTGTGTGAACACAAAGAACCTTCCCGAGCAGCAGTGGTGAATGGACATTGGATTATCTGTATGATGTGTCAGTTTGCAGCTGAGAGTGAAGTACAGATTTCTTTATTCTGCATCAAGATAATTTCAGGATTGGATTTTGCGTTTGGGAAAAAGAAAATATCATGGTCCAAAAGAAACATGTTCTCCACAGTGCTCAGTTGTAAATTTTGAAACACCACCCCAAAGTATATATTTTTATATTTTCAAGCAAAATATATATGTTATATTTTCACAAGGAAACTGTGAGGTTGAGCTAAGAAATGGTGAAATGGTGTGTATAGAATGAGGGTGGAGTAGGAGGAGTCTCCAAATTAATTTCCGTAGCTGCTTTGCCAAGTCTCTCCAGTGTGAAATGGAATGGAACTCACATTCCCACCAGCACTGTTTTTAAGAAGAAAAGGCACGGAGTTTTGTTTGCAGGCTGTGGAAAGTAGCCTGCTTCCTCTATTGCTAGTTTTTATTATCCTTCTGTCTAGCACATGCAGTTTCTTTGGCTGCTTTTGTTTTTTTGTTTTTTGTTTTTGTTTTTCGTAGCCAGTTCTTCTACACTGGATTTTAGAGCAGTCACTATGAAAAGTTATGAAATCTATGCTCCAGTATCCCCTGAACCGGCTTACTCTATAATCATAGATTTAGATATTGGGAACAGAGACCGTGGAAAGGACACTTCACTTGCCTCATGATTATACATTTGCTCTACAACCAGTTGCTTTGTCTTCCTAGGTTGGCAAATAAACAAGACAAGGAGGGAGCTTTAGGGGAAGCCGATGTGATTGAATGTCTGTCTCTCGAGAAGCTGGTCAATGAGCACAAGTGTCTGTGCCAGATTGTAAGTATATCATCATCATCATCGCTCTTTAATTTTGTTCAAGGAACGTTGTTTCTATAAAATGATAGTCAACTGGAAAGCAATCGTTTGGGACCGTGCTATACGGTAACTCAGCTGGAAAGAGCATCCAGGCTTGACCGTGGGAGTTCACTCCCTGGGATCCTGTGGAGGAAGACCATAGTCTCCTGCAGGTTGTGGCCTCCTGACCTCTTGTGCTGCGCTGTTTGTGCACACCCCCACGTTAATAAAGAAATGTAAAAAGATAACGAAAACAGTGTTAAAATAGCTTGTATGCCTGTCTGTCATTGTTCAGTTAATAGTTGTTAATACTATAAAATTTCTTCTAATTTTTTTTTCACTAACTTCTAGAAGCTTTCCTATATTGTTTCTAAATTTTTTATGTTTGCTTTTTTTGGGGGGGACAGATATAGATATTACTGATAAAATCAGTAACGTTTCATGTTGCAAATTTTGGAAATTAGAAAAAAATCAGCATAAGAGATCTAATAAGATTCTTAAAAAGTTACAGCACACTGTGAGCTGTTGTACAGTCTTGAAGAACACAGCAGAGGACTTATTCAGACTTCAGGAAATGACCATTCAGCTGTAAGCCTCATAGTTGTGTCTGTTGCTATAACTTCACTGGCATAGGATTGTTTTCTTTTGTTCTTTGTTCTTTTTCTGCTTGCTTGGTTTTTTTGTTTGATTGTTTGCTTGTTTTGGTTTTTTTTTTTTTTGTTTTGAGACAGGGTTTGGGGGTTTGGATTTTTTGTTTTGTTTTCTAGACAGGGGTTTTCAGTGTAGCCTCCCTAGCTGTCCTGGAACTCCATTTGTAGACCAGGCTGGCCTTTAACTCACAGAGATCCACCTGTCTCTGCCTCCAGAGTGCTGAGATTAAAGGTTTGAGTCACCATGCCTAGTTCAGCCAAAGAATTTATAACCTCCAATATTTTTTCAACACCCACCTCCCCCCCCCCCTTTTTTTTTTTTGAGACAATCTGTTTATGTCACCCTGGCTGGCTTCAAACTCAAAAATCTACCTGCCTGCCTTGGCCTCCAGAGTGCTATGTAGAGGTGTGTACTACGGTGCCTGGTCTTTCTAGGTGTTCTTAATAAATGGCAATGCAGTTTAGTTTCTCTTCCAGTAAATTTATATAAAATTGTATATGATCCTTTCATCTTCCTCATGATGTAACACAGATAATATGCATAATTATTTTCAAGTTCTGGTAGTACTAAATTTAGTTATTGCAAAATTGTGTTCTGAAAGGTATATTATTAAAGGGCTAAATTTTGCTCTACCAATAATTTTACTTAATGGTTTATGAATATGTTTGTGTGAAGAACTTTTAGTTTTAATCTTTGGATCAAACAATTTGTTTTAGGAACCTTGTTCAGCAGTCTTGGGATATGGAAAGAAAATTGACAAGTCCATTAAAAAGGGGCTTTATTGGCTACTGCATATCATTGCAAAAGACTTTGATGCCTTAAGCGAGCGCATCCAAAAAGACACAACTGAACAGCGAGCTCTTGAGGAACAAGAGAAACGAGAGAGGGCTGAGCGAGTGCGGAAATTAAGAGAAGAAAGGTAAGAAGATTAAATCTACCACACAGTTCATCTGAAGACTAAAAGGAGCAGTTTTAATCTGTTAAGTTTTGCTCAGTCTGTCTGTTCAGTTTTCTCTCTTTCTGTATGAAGAAAGATTTTAAGTAAATTTCTCATTTCTGTGAATCTTTGTATACATACACAAGTGTAGATGGTACTTTTTATTTTGTTGTGCTCAGGAATCTAGCCCAGGGCTTCGTGTGTAGTAGGCAAGCACTCTACCATGGAGCCCCAGATCCAGCCCAAGTGATGGACTTAAAAACTCGCCTGGGGCTGATACTAGTTAAGTATACTTCTTACTAGTAACTACTTTCTTATGTTTCAAATTTGTATCAATTGGTGCTGAGTAATTTCAGAGTTGTTCTTCTCAAAGTACAGGAGATTTCACTTTAGGAACATGTAGAGTGTCTGGAGACATTTTTATTTGCTATGGGTGGGGTGCTATAGGTAGAGGTCAGGGTGGCTGGCGTTAACGTCCTTTAATGCACAGGGATCCTCGGGAAAGCAACATCAGATTCAGTGTGTCAAAATGCAGTGGAATGAGAAGCTGGTGTGCACCCTCAGTGTGGAGCTGCGGTGTTAGATGATTGATTAACTCAAACCTGAGCTGGAAGACTGATTTTATCAAAATGTTTCTCTGTCCTGAGGTGTTGTTTTTAAGGATTTATTTTATTTAATTGTGTGCATTTGTGTGTATGTGTGGGTGTGGCTGTGTGCATCGGAGTGCAAGTGCCTAGTAAGGACAGGAGTGTGGGATCCTGGGAGCTGGACTTCAGGCAGTTGTAAGCCATCCGTCATGGATGCTGAGAACTGAACTTGTGTCTTCTGGAAGGGTAGTGCTCGGGTTCTTATCTCTGTATTCTGTCTGAAGGGAAGCATAAAAACTGAATTCACCAAGTTGAAGAATGATTGTAAAAATAATATTCCAGAATCATTTATAAACTAATATAATGCTATAAGAAAGTGCTGAGATTTCAGTAGTTAAATTTCATACTCAATCTTAAATTCCTCTTTGTCACTTTTGTTACACGTTGAAATGAAAGAAAATGAGAAAAAAAAACGTCGAAGCAAAGTCCTAACAAGTTTTGCAGTTGCTTCCTTCCCTGTGCGTCAGTAACACTGGCGTTCTATAAGGTGTCACATGCTGCTCCAAGTTGTCCCCTACTCTGAGTTCTTTGTGAGGCCTCTTTTATATGGTGAAGGGAGCCTTCTGGTGGTACCGCTCATAGAACTCAGAGATAGGATTTAAAGGAAAGAAATAATGTGGAATTACTCTCCAACCACCCAGCCCCAAGAGATGTCACCATGCCCCTTTTCTAGTTCTCCCGATACCAGTACATGGAATGAACAGTCTTTCTTTCACTTTTAAAATTAGTTCTTCGTGCAAATTTAGCTTGCACTTATTTACTCACCTCTCACATGGGAGGAGGACTACCTGGGTTTCTATGCTACATGCAGGATGGGGGTGGTGGACTATCTGGGTTTCCAGGTTATATGCAGGATGACCAGCTCCCAACGAGAAGGTCATGTGAGAATTCTTTAGTGCTTTTTTGTTTTCAATCCTAGTATAACTTTCATAATGTAAATATCATTATAGCCAATCATACAAAATACCCTATATATGTACACACACACACATATATATATATATATATTTGATAGTATGTACACACACACACACACACATATGTAAGATAAAATATTTTCCTGAAAACTCTTTTCTCCAATGCAGAAATAAAAACATGGGGAGAAAGGTAGAGCTGGCTCTCTGGTAGCGTGCATGGGGAGCTAGCTGCATGAATTCTGGATTTAATTCCCTGAACCAAAAGACGGAAGAGAAAGGATGGGGGGAGGGAGGTAGTAATAACAATCAAGTTAGATACAAGAAATACTCTCTGAGCCATCTTCCCTTCCGTAGTCTCCTAGGCAGCCAGTTAGAGAGGGAAAACTTCACTTTTGAGCTGTGACTCCATCATTACTAATGAATGAAAACCAGGATAGCTGTCCTATATGTGTGCTCATTTATAGAATATTCTCACATGAACTACCTTCTTATGACTGTTGTAATCCCATCTGCAGGAAAGCTGAGGCCCGCAGTTCTAGGGTAAAGGTCATAAAGGGTGGTAAAGCAAAAAATCTCCTCACCTTGATTTTCTGGATTCAGAATAGAAAGGTAGGGCTTTTTTTTCCCCTTCATCGTGGAACATAATTGGCATAGCAGTGGCCTATATTCTATGTACAAGCTGATCGGAGAACCACTTCTTTCTGTTATAATTATTAGAACATATTAATGGGTTTGAAAACATTTCCATACATACATTTAATGGCTTTGATCATACCCTTCCCCGCTCCTCTCTTCCTGTTCTTCCCAATGTATTAGTGAAAATGGGCACTCTTTAACTTTCTGTATTTGGCTCATTTCACTAACATGATAAACTTTAGTTTTATTCATTTTCTTTCCAATGGCATAATTTCTTTCTTTACTATATATCTTTATATAAACAAACTGCTATTATGTACAATAATGTATTATTGTATCCATGTACTGTAATATGTGAATAGCATCCATTTATTTTATGTATACATACATACATACATACATACATACATACATACATATATTCCATTTACCTGGTGATGAGTTCTAGACTGATTCTGTAACTTGGTGAAAATGAACAGCATTGCAGTGAATTTAGATTTCCAAATGTATTTTTTTGTTTGCTTCATTTTCTGTAGGTGTACACCCAGTACTGGTAGAGCTGGATAATAATGATATTTTGATTTTTAGGGTTTTATTTTTGTTTTCATTGTGGCTATACAAATTTGTATTTCTACCAGCAAGGACTGTTCCTCTTCACAACCTTGCCAGCCAGCATTTTGTTTGTTTTATGATAATCGTTCCAACTGTAGTGAGATAGAATTTCAATGTAGTTTTGATAGTATTGGTTTATATTTCTATGATGACTAAAAATGTCAACCCTTTATTGGGTATTGCACTTTGAGAAGTGACTGTTCTGAAAATTTGCCTGTGTTAGTTTGTTTGTTTAGTAGATTAATTTTTTTTTTTTTGTTATTTATTTTGGATACCAAGTCTCTGTGATGAGTAACTGGCAAGAACACTGATTTTCTTCCATTCTGCAGGTTTTCCATTCAATTGTTTTCTGTCCCGTGCAGAGCTTTTAAATTTTAATGTAATCTTATTCACAAATTTTTGCTTTCATTCTCTAAAACACTAGGGTCCTATTCAGGAAATTGATTATCTAAGATCTTGAAATAATTCTCCTATGATTGCCTAAAGAAGTTTCAATTTTTCCATTAAGGTTTCAAATTCTTTTGAATTTTTTTTTTTTTTTAAGATTAGGAGATAGGTAGCTAATCACAATCAGATATTTGTAGATTTGTGGACTTCCTTTTGAGTTCTCTGTGCTATCCATTGGTTCACATGCTTGTTTATGTTTACCGTGCTGTGCTGTCTGTTTCCCTCTTAGCACTGATTTCCCTGTATCCCACAGGTGCTGTTATTTGGCTTCCAGTTTATTTGATCCTAAAAATGTTAAGATTTCTCCTGATTCTGTTGTGATCTACTAATTATTCCAAAGCCAGTTTTTCACTCTCTATGTTTGCATAGCTTCTTGAGTTTTTTTTCCCCCTCTGTTTATTTCTAGTTTTATCCCACTGTTATCTTTTTCCCAGGCGTACAAATGGCAGAACATTTATTAAGCCATAAATGAAATTACATCACTTTTGTAAAATGAAAGGATTGTCACCTTGTTAAGAGAAGTAAACCAATAAGGTCACGGTCACTTAAGGACTGTGTATTTCTTTTCATATATGGGACTTAAAAAAAGAAAGGTGATCCATTTGAAAGTCAAAGAGGGACTATTGAGATAAGTAACAGGGACAAAAGAGAATGGATATGACCAAAGCACATTGCGCATATGTTTGGAAACGTCACAGCAAAATTCATTAGTGCCTAGTACAATGAAAGAGTGTGTGTGTGTGTGTGTGTGTGTGTGTAAGTAAACTGTGGAAATGCAGTGTTCATTACTGTGGCAGTAATTAAATGTCCTATGATGGACATTATTTTTGTAGGGAAAATGTACCTAGGCGTGTGCTGGTGGGAAGAATCGCCCTTGAACCCAGTGGTCTATCTCCCTGTGCTGTCTCTGAGTACTGGACTTTCAAGCACACTCTGCCATTTGCAGTCTGAATCTCTAGCTCTTACAGGAGTCTTTTGACCTTGTTTTTCATAGTTCTATTTCTTTGTCGAAATTGCTTTATCTGTGGTCATGGAAATATATTAACCAGTTAAAAGGTGCAACTACTCTAATGCTAAGAACACCAGGAAGAAAAGGTGAAAGTAACATGCAGTAAACTGAAAAGGGTAAAAATAAATGAAGGTAAAAAAGGAATAAAGACTTAAAAAAAAAAAAGCATAGTAGAAGAGAAAAAGAAAAAAGACCCAATTAGAGAATAAAAAAGTAAGTTGATGTTAGAAGGTAACAGCAGCCCTGCCCTCCTTGCAGAGTGCTTGGATTGGAAGTGACTCCCTGTGGGTCTTCTAAACACAAATCCACCAGGTGTGACCGGCCAGTGAGTTGTAGCTGAAACCACTTGTCATTCCCCTCTGCTTCTGCCCTAACAATTTAGGTCAGTATCCAGGCTGCTCCCTGGCTCTTTCCTGCCACACAGGTTAATTAGCGGTGACTCTGAAGGTTTTTATATGTATATCAGAGGTGTGGCCAAATCTGCCTGCCAAGAGCCCTTATTGCATATGGAGCCTCTGCTGTGTGCAGAATGGCCAGGCAAATACCCAGGGTGTGGTGTGTTTTTGGATGTTCCTTGACAGTGAAGGAAACAGTTGAAACGGTGGATTCTGTGAAACAGACTTGGCAGCTGGTCTCTGTGCTTTCAGACCCAGACCCTGGTGCATGTGCTTTCCCTCCTCCTCACGGAACAGGACTGTCTACCCCTGAGCACCCCCTCCTGACCCTTCCCTCTTAACCTTCACAGTGCACTTGTCATTGATAGCCTATTATCAACTTATTGATTGGTGGTTATCTCCCCACCTTGGCACTGCCACATAAGGCTTCTTAGGTCCCTGAGTTGTGATCAGTTTCTTTTGTTTATGACCTTTAGAGCAGTTTAGTTCCTAGGAATAGAGCCTTTTTCAAAAAAAAAAAAAAAAAAAAAAAAAAAAAAAAAAAAATGGCTCTTACTTGGAGCCATTGCAGTGTTTGCTGAGCAATCAGCATGATTTCCCTGGTAGTACTAGTATTTCATTGAGACCAGATCCTTGCTCTGCATCTACAGCTGCAGAAGCTTAGGTTTCTTGGGTAGTTAGGACTTCCTGTCTGCTGCTATGGCATGTGTTTCTGGGACCTTCACTCACCTTAATTGCAGCTTGCAGCATGGTGTTTTCCTTCCCCAAGAGGCTCTGAAGTTGAAATCCATAACTGCTTTGTGCTGGTCGGTGGCCTTTGGAATTCCTGTCATTTTGCTTTATCTTCACTTCCTGTTGATTCCTAGCATTCTTCTGGCATTCTGTCCTGGAATATCAGGGCTCATTCGATGCACTGACTCTACTTACTCAGACACTGGGAAGGAAGCCATTCCTTTCCATTCTGCCAGGGTTCTTCCTCTTCTTAGGATTCCTTTTAACATTCAAATGCTTCATTTTTACGGAAGCATATTTGGCCTGTTATTAGCATGTCTTCATGAAACTCTGCTCTAGCTAAATGGTAAAACTGGTTCACTCCTCTTTCAGAAGGAATGTTTATTTCTTTTCCTCCCTGAAACAGAGAACGAGAGCAAACTGAACTGGATGGGACCAGTGGTGTGGCTGAGATGGACCCAGGACCAGTTTTTGCTAATCCTTTCCAGCCCATAGCAGCAGTAATCATGGAGGTATGGATTGTATGGCGTGTGGCAATATGCGTTTTTATGTGTTACATAGTAGTTAGAATTCAGTAAGTTAGGTGTTGGGACAACAGTCAGGGCAGTAGAGAATGCCCCCAGAGAGAATTCCCAATGAAGGTAAAGATGGGCGACAATGTGGAGGTTAACCATTTTTCCCCCCACTCAGTTTACTTTGGAGCCTTGGGGATATCACCCAGCAATAGAACAAATGCTTGTCTAACACACCACAGTCACTTTTAAAACATCATGTTTAATACAGTATAAAAAGAGAAATATGCCTTCAAAATATACAGAAATAAAAGTAAAAGCTGAATAAATAGTTCATAGTTACTGTTTTCGATAAAACCTATTTTTGCCATATTTTTATAGTACTAATATTTGTTCTTTTTTTTGTACCAGGATTGATATTATTTTCACATTGTGGTAATGGAAATATATATGTATTTTAAATTATGTTATACTCATGTATATTACATATTGACATAAAGAATTAATGCAAAACATTCAAGCTGTAAGCCATAAAAATAGAATTTATTACATTTGAATTTAGAAGAATTGCTATACAGAATTAAAATGTCAAATGAAAACTAAAATATAAATAAATACATAAAATAACCCTGATGCTAAAAGAGACACCAGACACATGGTTCTGTGACTATGGACTAGTACTAGAAATTACTACAAGAATAATATAAACCTGGACATTGTATTTAAAAGGCAGTACTTCACCCCAAAGGTGGGAGAAGGCATGACCATAAAGGTGTTTAATAATCTTCTCCAGTAATAACAAAATTATAGTCATGTCACATTCAAGTCAAATTAAAGAAGTGCCAAGCTGACATTTACTAGTTTAGCTGAGCTACAGACTTACAGCCTGGGCAGTGGCTTAGAGAGGGCCTGAGGATGTAGCCTACTGGCACAGCAGTTGCCTAATAGACACAAGGTCCTAGGTTTACTCCCCGGTCCCTCCTCACAGTCACTTAGGAACAAATGTCACTCTCTGACCCCTGGCATATAGAATTGATTCAGTTTTTCTGAAGGGAAGTTTTGCTTTTGTCACATAAATGAACTGATCAACTGATATAGCCCCGCTGTTAGGAATGTCATTTAAAACACTAAGGCAATTTGCTTCTTAATAGCGAAACATTACATCTTTTGGAATGTATAAAAGACATTATATGATACATGCCCAATTCTGCATGACTCGAGGGACTGCCATAATCAAGGTGATGAGAGGATCAAACAGAGACCAACACACACAGAAAAAAGTGGGCATCAGGTGGTCTGGGCTCTGGTGGAGAAGCCACAGCACATTGGAAGCTCCTTGTGTTTGTTATATACAACTGAACAGGGAGTGGGGTCCTTGCATGGAAGGGAACAAGGACACAGCGTTGGTGCATACTTCTGAACAAGGAGGCAGGGTTAGCTACTTTCAGTAGGAAGAACCTCTGTGGTGAAGCAGTCTTCAGGTTATGAAAAGGATCAGAGAACTACCAGATACATTTGCTGTGCACACTGTCAATATTTGCTTTTGGACTCCTAGGGAGGCTTTTATCTGTTTGAACCTTACCCTGAGGATGGGGATGGAGCAGCTCGGGTGGTTCTTTGCCACTCCCATATTCTGAGAGATACTACAGTCCTGATAGGGCTGTGCCCAAGTCAACAATAGACATTCACTCAGGACTTTCCTCTCCCTACAGTGATACAGCCATTTAAAAATACTAATGTAATTGGGGGATTAAGGAGAGAGCTAATTACCTTACCCACAGCATGAGGACCTGAGTTCAGATCCCTAGATGAGTGGTTCCCTGGAGGTGTCAGACAGAAAATCAAAGTGCTCAGAGAGATGAGACTGAAAACCCAGTGCAGATTGACTCCCATCTACCTGGATCAGACTTCCTTGGGGAGTCTGGTGTCAGGCGGTCCATTGTCGGCATATTTAAAATACAATGCAATTTGGGAAAACGTTTCCAGGCAACAATCAATCCAATTCCAGATGCACAATGAATCTTAAGGTGTGACTGCATAGAAACTTCTTTACAAAGTACATGCGACCAAGAGGGTGGGTTCTATTGTTAAAAGACCTAGAATCTAGTGTGATCTCTGACAGAGACAGCATAGAGGTAGACAGGATATGAAGTACATGTGACATCTTCTCTAAATATGGTCTAGGGAGGGAAGGGTTGGGGATAATCATTCTGGGGAATTTGGGTGAGGTCTGCTCCACCGATAGCAGAAGGGTCGCTAGGTGTTAGCAATATCCACCCCTCACCTTCTGGTTAGGAAAACAGGTATTTTCTCATCTCCTTCACTGAGAAGAGGTCCATGTGTGTTTACCAGTCCTGGTTTTCCTAGTCATCTCTGAGTACAAGGACCTTTGTGCCCCCGGTACCCAGAACCATGTAAAGCGGTGGGCATGGAGGAATGCGACTGTAATAGACATGCTGGGAAACACAGACAGGGCATCATTAGCCTATCTAGCCAGATTTAGTTTCAGATTTACTTAGAGACCCTATCTCAAGCCCCGTGCTGCCACCCTCTGTACTCTACATACACCCATACTAACAAGTGTACATGCTTGCATGCATACATATGTACGTACATATATGTATACATACTATAAACACAAACGAATGTTAATTCAGTTGATAAAAATAATAGGAGCTAACACATAATATTTACTGCATGTGAGGTACATTTTAAGTCATGCATTCATTAACATGGAAGGAAACATTTTAAAATAAAACCTTCAGTTTTTTTTTTTTCATCAGCAAGTAAATATATGTAAGTAGAGAGAATCACATTCATGTATGTTTGTTGGTGGTGTGTGTCTATGTGAGTGTGGGAGAGGCTAAGAAAACATGCTATGATTATAAGTGGAATAGTGGTCATCTCTGGATTATGAAACTACTGGCAATCTGTACTTTTCTTCAGACTTCTGTCTGTATTGAATATTTAGCAGTTAGTATGCTTTAATGATATATTCACAGTTCATTGTGCGTCTTGCAGTGACATGGATTCACCAAAGTGCTTACTTGATTTCTTCCTCGAAATGATCTTAAATGCCACCACTGTGATAAAGATAAATGTATTTCATTTTTCTTAGAATGAAAAAAAGCTAGAAAAAGAGAAAAAGAAGCAGACTGCGGAGAGAGAGAGAGAGGTTTGCCTCCCGGAATATAATGTGGAGCAGGGGCAAGTAGAGTTGCAGAGCCAGCCTAGTGGCTGCCACAAAAACAGTGACAGTGAAGTGGTGGAGAGTCACAAGGAGGCCCTGTCACAGCAGCTGAACAATGAAGATGAGCTAGACCAGCGGTCGTCAGAATCAGGTGCCAAGTCTCATTATTCCTATGCGCCATGCGCTGGATTTCATTTTTATCCTGTTTACAAAAATGCTTCTGTAATAGACTTTTTATTTCTGTTTTTACACTATACGAAGTAAAATGATCCATATCACATTTGCTCACTTTAAAATAATTATTTTCTAGACATATTTGTATTTCCTATAGCTTTGTAGGTTTCACAGATGTTGGTTATTGCTTATGTTGCAGTTAATTTTCAGTTTAGGAAATATATTGTTATATATCTGCTGTGCTGCATGTATATTTAATAGATGAAATAAATTTTAAGAGCTCAGGATTTTTAGTCAAAATATTTTTATGGCGTTCTGAATTTATTCAGTGTAATGTCCAATTTTGGTTTTTGTGTTATAAAAATTTATACATTAATACAGACCCTTAAAATGTTCATGTGTGATTCTTGTAGAGCTTGTATGGTTTTTGTTTTTGCTTTTTTAAGAATAGTAGATTCTGTAAGGTCTACTAATGTGATGTTGGTTGCATACATTTATACTGGAAATACCTTGTTTGTAGATTATTTTAATGAGTAATGTGTTTAGATTTGGTGGGTGGGCTCTTAACAGTAATTTAAGTGGTTATTTATTTATTTTGGAGTACTTATCCTTAGAGTCAGTCATTCTACATATCTCTCTTCAAGAGTATCACCATCTTTCCTCTTTTTGTAGGCCTTTCAGAGTTTTATGAAATCCCTACACTTAGACAATTATAATTGCTTTCAATGACATTGAGTTTGGAAGAAATGCTAGTTAATTTTGGAAATGAAGACCTCTCATAGAAATTGGTTGTATGTGTTTTATTCATTAAGCATACACTCATCCTATCAGCCATGTAAAATGTATTCTTAGTGTATCTAAGTTCGTACTTGGTTGTTGAATAGTAATTCCCAAAGTTGTATAATTAGTGATTATGAATATAATACCAATAGTCTCATTTTATTCTTTGTTTTTACATTATAAAAGTTCACTTTCTCATGAATTAAAGTTCCATGTCTATATTCTTACAGATAACAGTAAAAAGAAAACTAAGAAACTGAGAATGAAAAGGAGTCATCGGGTAGAACCAGTCAATACAGATGAATCTGCTCCTAAGAGTCCCCCTCCCCCCCCACCTCCCCCTCCTGGTGAGTGGAAGTGTCCCTGGGTTAGAAACATGGCTTTAAGAACTGCAGGGGAACAGGTGAAGAAATTAGGCAGTTTGTAGTTAGTGTTTACATTATTTCGCCAGTTTGTGAGAAAGAACCTTAACTGTCTGTGTTATACAGCGTTTAACTTCTGTGTTAACAATTGTGAATTTCTGGGTTGTTTTAAGAATGAAATGGTAAAATGTAGTAATATAACTTTACGTAATAATCCCTAGAATGTGGTCAAATTCTATTTGAAATGTCAATATCACACTTTGCTGAAGGCAATTGAATGTTAGCGGATTGGCAACTAGATTGGGCTTTCAAATGCTCGACTGTTAATCTTTTATCCTAAAAGTTACGTAAATATGTGTGTGTGATTTTTTTTTCTCAATATAAATGCAATATGCATATATACCTTCTAAGAAGTTGCAGGACTTAATGCATGCAAAGCTGTGGGACACAACTACACAAAAACTGTAAAGAGCCTTCACTGAGTGTCCCAGCTCTTACAGGTGCTGGTAAATATGTATGAACTGAATGAAAACATTCATTCACAATTCCCGTTTAGCCTTTGTGCCAAAGCTTTAAATGTAAAATTTTTTATTATGAATTTTGTAAAAGATTCATTTCTAGTATTTTTTAACAAAATAGTTCTCTTGGCCTCTGCTAAGTGTTATAATGGTAACCAGTAGTTTATTTGTAATGGTGGTAAGAAGTGTGAAGTTTTAATTAAATGTGTATTAAGAGCTTATATATAACTAAATATAATATAATATAGTATAGTATAATATGCTAAAGCAGATGTTAACATCATATAGTAAATAGAAACCAGTTAAAAATGTACCTGTTCAGAATTGTGTCACTGTATATTCAAACTGATATAGAATGTTAAGTACCTTTTCTATCAAAGGAAGGATCCTCTGCAAAGACCTTAACAAGTACTCATTTAACAGAGCTTCTAAATCTTTTTCTTTTCCTTTAGTTGGCTGGGGAACCCCCAAAGTCACTAGACTTCCAAAACTTGAGCCTCTTGGTGAAACACGTCATAATGGTAATACAAAAGGATGAGTTTTCAAATATCATCTGTGCATAATACATCCGCTTTTCTTCATCTTATCATTTCACATTTTCAGTATTTTACTTTTGATAGCTTTCAGATCCACTACCATCATTTTCATTATGCTTTTAATTTTCATTTTGCTTTATTTGTTGTTTTTAATGCACCTTACAATTACATAATTTGATTTTTTAAAATCTTAATACAAATATATGAAGACTCATTCTTGCGTTTATTCTTGATAGACCTTATAGAAAAAATTCTGAGATGGGAAAAGTGTCCCAGCAACTGAAGTGTGAGCTACTGCAGTGTTATTTACTGTTCTAGAAAACTGTCGTGCCCTGCCTGTGTTCAATGAACTGTGGTATAATGAACGTAATTGCTCTCTCTGCTCATAATAAGATTTTCAGTTACTAAACATTAAAATGAAGTCAAGATCAACACAATGTATGAAATGAGAGATCAGATTAGTGAACCAAATACAGAAAGTTTCTTGAAGGCTTCATTGAATCAAGAAAACAATTTTCCTTAATGAAATAGTCATAGCTATAATCCAGCCAGTGCATTGCCTTAGAACTCCAAGAAATAAAGCCTAGGAAAAGGCAGTTACGACTCGAGGCAGAAGTCATTCCTGACTAGAAGACTAGGATTTCACGATCTTAGAATGCAAAAGAGTGAGTCTTAAGTGTGGCTCCATAAACATGTTTATTTAGAGCATCCGATTCACTTTTTGTGAGAACATAATAGAGAAAAAGACACTAAATCTTTAGAAAAAATATTACCATAAACTCTGCATTTGTCAAACAGAAACAAACTATTTGACAGTTAACCAACCCTGCTTCTTGCTTTTGTTTTCAGAATGGTACAGGTCCCTAATAGTTTCTACTTAATCATTAGTGAAAATTAGAAAATTTATATTGATAGGTGATTTTACTTTTAGACTTCCTGAAAGGGTAGTATGTAAGGTGTAGGGTTTTTCCGCCTGCCGCCTGGTCTTGTCCCGCCGCCGCGCCAACCCCAAATAACACACAGAGACTCTGTATTAGATATAATTCTGTTGGCGAGGTACTTGTTTCTTATCGGCTAGCTCTGTCTTAATTATTAACCCATTTCTATGTATTTCCACGTGGTCTTACCAGTGAGAGGCGGCTGGCGATTCTATTCTCTCCAGATTCTCCATCTTGGCTCCCTTACTACTTCCTCTTTCCTCCTTGTCTCCTAGACCCTCCTATCTTCCTTTCCTATTGGCCAACAGTGCTTTATTCATTAACCAGAATGAGAAACATACAGAATGACATTGCATATTTCTGTAATATTTTTATTGATAATATTTTTATTGATAATAGTTTAAATCCTGTTTTATTATATAACCTGACTTTATTCATATAAGAATATTATCAGTTTAAATATTCAATATTAGAAAGTAGTGTTTGTCCATTTATATGTACACATATACATACATAGAGAATAATTTCTCACAAGAGCAGAAAGCTTGCAGTGGCAACTTAATGACATGCCAACAGACAGGAAGCAGAGAGGGCTCTATCTAGAACTAGAGCAGGGGTGACCTTCAGAAGTTGCCCCTAGTCACCTGCTCCATTTTCTGATGGTGCTGAAACAGTGTCATTAGCTAGAGTTCAAGTACTTACACACATGCACATGTAGGAACAGTTGAGAATCAACATATAACCTGCCTACATCTAGACCCTAGTATTTCATGTCCACCTCATAGTATGGGTACAGTTGATCTAATTTGAAATCTCTGTAGTCTGGCCAGTCCCAACACTATTCAGAATTCCAAAGTTCAAAGTTTCTCCTGAAATACAAGTCTCTTAGTTGTGAACCCTCTAAAATAAAAAGAGAATAACACAGAATAAACATCCCCCTCCCATAAAGGAGGAACAGACTATCAGGGGAAGGATGGATCTGAACAAGATTAAAGCTGAGTGGGGCAAATATTAAATCCAGTGTCACATGTACAGCATATAGGGCCCATGGTAGTATCATCAGCTCCAATGGTCTTGTTCTGTCCTGCACTGGTGGCTTTATCATTTGCAGCATACGTGACCTTTCTCTTGAGGCAGTTTCCCGGGGCCTGGGATTTTCTTTGACAGACATCCCATCTTGTGGTGATCCCAGTGTAGCAGCCTAGGCTTCACCTTTACAACTTTCGGGTTGCCACTGTCAAAGACTCTCCTCAGAGAATCTGCTATTGCTAACCATGCCCTTGCCTTAGGCTGTTTGTTCTCTGCACCTCCTGCAGATGCCTCCACAATCCTGTAACTCTTGCATTCTATATGCTCCCCAAACCATCACCACATGGACAGCAACAAGTTCTGCTGCCAGCTGAAGACAAAGCTAAAATCCCATGGTCTGTGGCTGTAACACTCTGTATCCCCATGGCTACAAAATGTTTCTCTAGGTGGCTTTCCTAGTAGGTCACCTTTTCTGCTTGCTGTAACTGAAAGTCCTCCAAGTGAGTTTGCATTTACATCAAGGACCTTCTCTGGAGCTATAGTCTCCAGTTTACCTTTTCTGTTGTTGTTGTGCAGTGCTAGACATGTGCAGTGCCTCTTTCCTGGTCTTAATCCCTTGAGTAACCAGGCCTGCAGTGTCTGCACTTGCTTTGTATTAAATGTGCTTTTTCCTTTTCCAGGCCAAACTGCTGCTTTTGTCTGTGTGTTCCACTCTTTGCTCTCTGTTCTCAGATAGAGTGGCTGAAAGCATCTAACAATAACCATGCCACAGCCTGGATGTTAAACACCAAGTAACATAATCTATTGTTGGTGAATTCAGAATGACTAGGATGTGGCTACATTATTTGTTTAATGGCCTCTTATCCAATCCCAGTAGAGTCCTTGTTCCCATCTGAACCCAGCCTTCACTGTTGGTCTCATCTTCTAGGTGTCTAGCAGAATTTCCATTGTTCTTTATATATATATATATATATATTCATTCTAAGACTTCTCTAGACAGTAGCTTTTAAGTTCTCCCACGTTCATCCTGAAAACCAACTGTTAAAGTCTTAATAACTACATAATAATATTCATCACAGCAAGGACTCTGTTCCTGCTACTAATTTATTGTGGTTTCCACAGCCTTCAAAACAGCTGCACCACCAGTTTGGGATTAATCTGTTGAAACACATGAGCTGGGAAGGGGGAGGGGGATCGTGTTAGACCCAAACAATAACTAAATATTTTTTATTTGGCACTAAATATGTGTTACATCAAGATGAATAAGAAATGCACTTTACCTGACTTAATGGAAAGAATAGTCCTCCAAACTACTCTAGTATCTATGACAATAAATTCTTTAGTGGAAATTTGGAATGCTATTCAGAGACTTCGTGGTCAGTTATAGAAAGTGATATAAGAACTAGGTGTTCAAATAAGACAAGCCAGTATAAACAGGATCCAAAAGTAAGTATACCTGTAATCCAAGCACCACTGAAGGCTGAGGCAAGAAAATTGGGAGTACAGGACAGCCCATGCTGCATGAGCCTGTCTGAAAAAGAAAAACCAAACAACAGCAACAAAAACGGAGATAGAAAAGAACAATAGTTTTTCTCAAAACTACTCTGAAGTAGTTTCTAAGAGGCAATGTTCATTTAATGCACAGACATTGTGTTAGTAGATTTAATGTTTAAAGAAATAATTTAAAAAGTACTTAGTGTGTGAGTGTTTTACCTGTGTGTATGTCTGTGTGCCATATGTGTGCCTGGTACCTGGGGAAAACCGGAAGAGGACATCAGATCCCAAGGAACTGGAGATACAGATGTATGTGAACCATCTTATGGGTGCTGGGAATTGAACCCCAATCCTCTGGAAGAGCAGCCAGTGCTCTCAACCTCAGAGCCATCTCCCTAGATAGACCCCCCTCTTTTTATTTGTTTTGAACACATTTCCTTCCCTTATATGTAGATATATGTGGACAAAAGACTGATGGCAGATGTGCAATAGACACGGAATGAGCTAGTAGATAATTAAAAACCAACTGTATGTGGTTTGTGATGTAAACTTTACTGACTTGAACCAGAATGGCCATTTTCAGGTAGAAAGCAGCTAAGGGGAGCTGCTTACGTTGATTTTGGGCATTTGCTTTGGTAACAGCTTGATTATTTTTATAATCACTTTTATTGCCTACAAAGCTTTCTTTGTGTAACAGGTAGGACAGAAGCATTCAAAGAGACACAAAATGCGAATCTGCTTTTATTTTGTGAACACTTTCAATCTGTATTCCTTCAATGTGTTATATATGCCACATTATGAGAAGTGAATCAAAGTTTCTGGTAGTCAAAAATACCAGCTATGCAAATTAAAGAATATTGTCAAAGCTTAAAATTATGAAGCTAAACATGTTTGTATCTTTTTACTGCTTTCCAAATTTCACCTTTAAAATGCATGATAATCACTATGAAAATGTTTAGGAAATTAAAATACGCTATCTTATAGAACAATTCAGTATCTTGTAAGGAAGTGACACAGAATGCAGTACAAAAGTTTACTAATTTCTTGGAAGACAAAAGCAACATTCTGTATACATTCATTTGGCCTTTTAATAAACATATTTTTAAATTCATCAAAGTAATTGGTTATATCATAATTTTTATCATAACAATTATAGCAAGTAATAGGTATCTACCATTGTGCTTGGCAATTTCAGTTCTTCCAAATTGCCTTGTCATAGTGGCAGCAAAACTACCTTAGGCAAGAGCCAAATTTTTTATGCCACTGGGCTACAGAATCAAGATTTGAACTTAGGTCTGACTGGTTTTAAAAAATCCACACTAATATTTGTTAGGACATCTTGACAGCTTAATTTTTGGTTTTGATTTTCACTTGCTTTGAAAATACTTCCCCTTGTTCACTTCCAATATACTTATTGTAAGTGATTTTGAACACTTGTGCTTCTGAAATAATTTTAAGGTTACTAGACTTGAAAATAATGTATGATTACTTAAGTATGGCATTAGGTTTATAATTTAGTTTGTGGCAAAGTAAGAAGCAGAAATTTGAGGCAGTGTACTTTATGCTGCCAAGCCTACACACCTGAATTTGATCCCCAGGACCAACACACTTGAAGGAGAGACCCAACTCCCGCACACTGTTCATACACAAATGCAGCCCTGGATTCAGTTACCAGTAATTCACATACTCAAAAAGAAAGACCATTTTGTTCAATATAGTTACCAAACACAGAATTGTAGTAAGATTAGGTAAAGGAGGCTAGTTTGCTTCTCCTAAAATACCTAGATAACATGATCATTAGAACGAAACATGGTGATTATAAATAGTGACTGGCCAGGGAACTTAGTAGCAGATGATGTAGATTCTCAGATTTTGTATTTGTTTTCTAGTGTGAATGTGTTAAAAAAAAAAAAAAAAACTAACCAAACAAACAAACAAAAAACCCTTAAGTATGTATATTTGGTACAATATTTTAATAGTCATTTAGAATTTACCTAGATTTTTATGTTTTGAATTCATTCAAATATTTTCTTGGATTTTTTTGTTTTTTTCTGTTTTCGGTCTTGCCCACCTATCCATTCACTTGAAAATTGCGTACATCTCAATCTTCTAAAGATGTTGTCTGGAAAACAATTAGCTGTGAAACACTTGATTACCATACTGTTTCATGTTTTCCATTTCTGTTTTTATGCAGATTTCTATGGGAAGCCACTGCCTCCTCTGGCTATGCGACAGAGACCTAATGGTGATGCTCCGGACATGATCTCATAACCAAGTCAGATGGGTTGGTTCTTTCAATATCAGCAAAGTGAACTGAGACTTTCCCAAAAGTAGAAAACTGAACACTGACTGATTCCTGGGTAACACAACCATAATATCAGGGAGGAAAGAATACCCAAGAACTTGACCTGAACATTTACTTCTCCATGTTCTGTGGTTAAAGCAGAAAGGAAACAAAAGGACCAGTAGCTGATGAGCATTTGGTCACATTAGCAAGATGTAGTGTTGATTCTTTGGTTTACACGTGCCTACTCTTGGACATTCTCCCAAAGGAAAACCTCCTCAGAAATGGAGCCAATGGACTCTACATACCTGATTATTTAATAGTCTGTATTTCTATGCATTAAACATGTTTTGTAAGGTACATGTACATGAAAAGGGAATCCTGGGAATTTATAACCTAAATTGTAACTATTTTTATATTTTTTTCTAAAGCTTTTGTTTGAGTTTGCTATTGTATTGATTGTGCACTTTTCTACAGATGCTTGCTTTAAACTGGATAGGAAGTTGACTAACTTGACAGACATGAAGTATACATGCAGGATGTGTTTAAATGTTTTGTGATAACATTGTTTTTAAAATGTACACCTATTTTGACGTACTTTTAAAATAGCAGCTATTAAAAAAATAGCTGCTATTTTAAAAAGCAAGTTTTCAGATCTTTAATTCTACTCAATCACATGATTTGAAAGTAGTAATGGAGGAGAGAATTCAGTTCTGATGTCACTGTCTATTTTCCTTAGTGACAATCTCAATAAAAGTTAAGATATGTGAAATTGTTTTAAAAAAAATCCTAAACTTGTTTAAATTAGTTAAAAAATGTGTGTTGTGAGACATTATTCAAAGCTCTAAAAGACCAAACTGAAGGACCGGTCACTTCCAGAGCTCAGGTGCCCTCTGCATGCCTGTCACCTGTGAGGAGCTCCACTGACTGGGTTGCTCCCATTCTTCCATGCCTTGAATTTAAAGGTAAGAAGACGGCAAAGGCTGCTGCTTGTCTATAAAGGTCGGTTTACAGCAAATACAGCCATTCAAATGAAAGTGCTGCTCAAATCCCATGATAAAGAATTAATTGTAACAGGACTTCTTAATTCCAAATGACAGCCCTTGTTTTGCTCTTGAATGCCATGCATAAGGTTCATCCATCCTTTACCAAGACTTCTAGAGATATATTTAGTAGTGGATTCATAAGGTAATATTCAATTGAAAATATGCCTTTAAATCAAGGTGAAGATTACAAAAAAAAAAAAAAAAAAAAAAAAAAAAAAAAAAACAATTCCCGTGTGACCTTGTTAAGATTGGTACCTTGTGTGGCCATAGACATACACTGGTTTTGGAATGTAAGTCCTGCTAAGGTAAATTATTGTCTGTTAAATGTTTGTAATACATTGTGTTCATATTTTAGCTCACTGGACCTGGATTGGTCAGGTCACGTTGTCCTAGTGAGCAGTGGTGTTTCTGTGAGTTGTGTATCACCTTGTGCACTGAGGGAAAAGCATTTTAATTTCTATGCAAAACCCATATGCACAATTAGTAGGTGGCTCAGATATGACAGATCACATGAACACAGAAGGCAAAATCTAAACTGATTTAGAGGGAAAGGCTCACCCTTTTGATTCATTTTGTAATATTTAAATTCCCCTTTAAAACTAAATACACTTTTTCTATCTTTTAACATTCATTGGGTTTGAGAATAAAGATTTTTTTTAAAAAAAAATTCTTGCTTTCTACCAGTGTTTACTGTAGAGTACAGTTATTACCGACTATTTAATGAAAATGATTTTGAAATTGTAACATAAACTGGAATCGATGTTTTCTATAATAGTATGTTTTCTTAAAGCAGTGTAAAAAATCCTTTAAAAGATGTTTTGTAAATCCTATCAGATTTTAACACTTCTATGTTTATTTTGTTATACTATACATTTTCATTCTTATTCATCATGGCTTATAACATATCACAATAAAAAAATTATTTACACCAATCTCTTTTCCTTTTCTGGTTTTAAATTATTTTATTTAGCTCAACCTTTTTTTTTAAAAAACATCACTATTGTGGAAAGAGTTAAATTGGTGGATTAAAGTAACTTTTTATATGAAAACTAAAGATCTGAGAAACAACATTGTGATTGTGTGTGTGTGTGTGTGTGTGTGTGAGAGAGAGAGAGAGAGAGAGAGAGAGAGAGAGAGAGAGAGAGAGAGAGAGAGAGAGGTACCTGCAGGGGCCAGAAGAGCGTGTTGAATCCATTGGAACTGGAGTTATAGATGGTGGTGAGCGACCAGGTGAGCATTGGGACTCAAACCCAGGAATTCTAGGAGAGCAACCAATGTTCTAACCTGCCAGACTGATGCCACCTTTCCAACCCCATGCCATGTTTCCTTCAAGCAGAAAATTAAACGCTATTTTCATTAATGTTTAGAATTTACCAAAACTCTGAGTAGCCTAGAAAAGTTCACCTATAAAAAAGACCATTGAATGTTTTATTTTACTACGTGTTCTCCAGCTGAAAATATTTGGGGATCTGGAACGATCTCCAAGAGGGTAAGAGCACGTGCTATTCTTGCAGAAGAGCCTGTGTTCTATTCTCAGCATCCACTCCAGGCAGCTCATTCCTGGCTGTAACTCTAACTGCAGTACATCTAAAATCATCTTTGCTTCCCAGGACCTTTGCATTGTCATGCACTCCTTCCCCCAAACCATGGTTAAAACTCTTCAAACATTATTGAGGGTCAGTGCTTTGTGCATCTTACTCAGGGTATTCATTTTCTCCCATCCTAAGAAAAGAAATTCATGCTTCTAGGTAAAAGTTTTCAAAAGCTGAAACTGCTTAGACACATATAACTATAGTTTGTAGGTCTTGTTACTGCCTATTAGTATTCAGGCATCTGTACTGGCCTCTCCCTAGGATTGTGACAGGATATGTCCTCAGCTGCAGCCACTAAGAGCACCATCTGTGCACATTCACGATGTTTCCTTTTAAAAAGGTCCTGTCCAACTCCCATCCTCCTCTTTCTCTCCCTCTATCTGTCTGTTCCTCTGCCTTTCTCAGTCTCACACCCTTTCTCTCTACCTCCTTCCTTCCCTCCCTCTTGCTGCTCCTGTCTCCGGAGGCTGGTCTCCCTACTCCCCTTTTTAGGATCCCTTTTCCTAATTAAAAATAAATAAATAAAAGACCCCTGCTTGAATCCTGTCAAATCGTGTCTTTCTCTCACTGGTTGCATTTCTTAAATTACAACACAGTTGGCTTTTAGTTCCCGCTTTCCTCTGAATAGAGGATACTTTACAGGTGACATTCTGTAGATACTCATTTGTTGAGAAGTATATATCATCTGATCCAGATAATAAATTCAGACGATGCAGGTCTTAAAGTATGTCAGAGATGAAGAATAGTAATCTCTTTGTTTTGTAGAAATAGAAGTGAAACTTATTCCAGAAATAAACGCACAAACAAAACAAAACAAAAAACCCACAAGAAAAGAGAAATGTATTTCCTTTAGTGGGTCAACTTTATAACTGAAGGGCAAGTAGGGTATAAGTCATCTGTTGTAAGTTCCATTTATGTACAGTTGATAAAACAGTATACAACGGGGAATTAATCAGTGTTCCCCCTCAATTTTATTATTTATTTATTTATTTATTTTCAAGACAGGCTGTCCTGGAACTAGCTCTTGTAGATCAGGCTGGTCTCGAACTCACAGAGATCTGCCTGCCTCTGCCTTCCAAGTGCTGGGATTAAAGGTGTGCACCACTTAGGAGGTAGAGGCAGGTAGATCTCTGAATTCAAGGCCAGACTGGTCTATAGAGTGAGTTCTAGGACAGCCAGGTTTACACAGAGAGACCGTCTTCAAAACACCACAAACAAAACCACAGAAACAGCTGAACAAGGGGGACCTCATGAACCCCAAACTGATAGCTGGGAAACCAGCATAGGACTGACCCAATTCCTCTGAATGTGGGTGTCAGGAGGACTGGGCAGTCTATGGGGCTTCTTTGGGAGCCCATTCCACATAGAGGGATACTCTCAGCCTAGATACACAGGGGAGACCTAGGCCCTGCTACAAATGATATGACAGACTTTGAAGACTCCCATGGAAGGCCTCACCCTCCCTAGGGAGCAGAAAGGGGATGGGATGTGGTTGGTGGGAGAACAGGGGAGGAGGCGAAGGAGAGGGAACTGGGATTGACATGTGAAGCAAGCTTGATTCTAATTTAAATTTTAAAAAGTATATAAAAAAAAGCAAAAGAAAAAAACAAAAAAGAAACTTCAATATGAAAGTATTAGAACAAATTTAAGTCCTCATACATATGTACATACTTACCTGTACAACATACATCTTATGCCTCCCTACAAAAGGAAGTTTAACCAAAACAAACAAACAAACCCTAAAAGGGAATAAAAATTGAGGTCATATTTACCTGATCACAGAGTGGATTGTGCCCTTGGATTTTTGTACACTACCTGGATCCTCAAAGTAAAGGGTCTCACCTGAACTGAAAGTCTATGATTGCATGGACTGTATCTAGCCTTGATTGCAGGTACCTCTGTTTTTCTGTTTCTTTCTGGAACAAGAATCTCTCAGAATGCCTGACTGGTTTCTCCCCCCCCCCCCCCAAGGATCTTTACCTTTTTGGCAAACATAAAAAGAGTTTGAGACATGGTTTGTATAAACACGAAAATTCATAAAATTGTTAGGAATAGACTATAAAATATATCCAAAAGCACTCCTTACATCAAATGATTTAATGATAAAAATGTTTACATTAAAAAATCTTACCTAGAGGTGTTATTAATCCTTTAACTTGTTAAGCAACCAAGTCTGAAACGATATTGAAAGAAAAAATAATAACAGGATGTAGTTCATTTTAGCATTTACAAAGCTATGGACTCAGTCCCCAGCAACTACCAACTAGGCATAAAAGCATACCACGCAGAGTCTCAGAACCTTTGAGGTGGAAGTAGGGGGATCAATTCAGTTTATCCTTCTGTACATGGTGACCTCAAGGCCAGTCTGAGTGACATGAGACATTACCTTAAAATATTAGCAAAGAAACACAAGTAAATTCTCATCTGTGTTTTCAGTAGTTCAAAAGAAGTTTAATAGATCTGATCTTTCCAAGTTTAACTTCCTAGTATGAATCTACCTCCTATATTCTAGGTCTACTTTATAACTATGAAACTATAGTTAGGTCATTGGCTGAGACATTTTATAATGGACATAGAAAATACACCATATCTCTCTACATGTAATAGCTAAAAGATAGATGAATTGCTTTTCCCCAAATATACAACAGGTACTATTCGTTTAATTATTTGCCTACCAAATACTGTATTTTATTTTGCACTGAGTCAAAATTCTAACAAGACACTTCTTAGACTCTTGAGGAATGTGCCTAAATAAACATGGTTAGCTTTACATCACATTAGTGGTCAAGGAGCATTTTCTTTGCGTAGGGTTTAGAAACCAGCACCTACCTATTGCATATACCTCTACTGATATTTTGAGCGTCCAGTTCTATCTGAAAATGATGATGCCTAGTTATGAGACCAAATCGCCTCTGAGAAACTGCAGGTTTGTTACAGAGCAAGGAAAATGCTAATGAACAGTTATTCCTAACAATCAATGTTGCTTTTGGTTGACCTGTGCTGGGGGCTTGGTGGGTCCTTTCTGGTCCTTGGGAATAAGGTGTCAGTGCTTGGTAATAACAATAGTCATTATTCGGGGCTTGGTGGGTCCTTTCTGGTCCTTGGGAATAAGGTGTCAGTGCTTGGTAATAACAATAGTCATTATTCAAAGCATCAATGATACGATAGCCATGTCAATCTAGCCACCTACCCTCAGCCTACTTAAAAACCAAAATTGAAAGTGGGAAGCAGAAAGGGGACATGTATGCCATTCCATGTGCCCACGCTGGGAAAAGGAACAGTGAAGCCACTCCCCTCCCCATGTTGGTCTTGGGGGTCCTAATGGAAGATCCGTGTTCTGGGACCAGTGGGCCATCGTCTGGCTTTCCACATCCTGTCAGAGGGTGGTCTGACGTAAAACTGTTGTCAGTCTCTTTCCACAAGACAAGTTCCCCTTTCCGTCTCCCAGGGTGATATCCCTGGGGAAATGACCATTTCTCTGGGGTCCACTGCTTCAGCAGGCAGACACACAAATGTCTCCAGGGTATCTTCATGCCTGTCAGGCTTGGGGCGAGTCACACTAATGGCCAGCTTTGGGCGTGTGCTCTGATGTGATGTCCCAGCTGAGGGCTTTACTGGGCATTCCAATGCACTGTTTCACACTTTGCACCTAAGGATGCACCATTGCAGGCTATTTCACACTTTGCACCTAAGGATGCACCATTGCAGGCTATTTCACACTTTGCACCTAAGGATGCACCATTGCAGGCTATTTCACACTTTGCACCTAAGGATGCACCATTGCAGGCTATTTCACACTTTGCACCTAAGGATGCACCATTGCAGGCTATTTCACACTTCGCACCCAAGGATGCATCCTCGCAGGCTATTTAACACTTTGCACCTAAGGATGCACTGTCGCAGGCTATTTCTCACTTCACCTAAGGATGCATCCTCGCAGGCAATCAATCAATCCTGAGGGACAGGACGGTCTCATCCTTTCACCGGCCGCTTCCTCATCGTGGAGCTCACACTTGTAAATTAGCATGCCTTTGGTTATGAGACCCTGACAGCTCGGTAGCGACGGAGGTCTATTCCCGACACAGACGCAAACGCCGAGCGTGAGCCAGCAGCCCGGCTCGCCCCGGACCTCAGCGCCAGCGCCTTCCCGCGCAGGTCCGTGGCCTGTGTCCCCGGGTCTCGCGGGACCGGTGCCTGATGCGAGATTTGGGTCCCTGAAACTACCATCCCGCGAGAACGCAGACCGGAAGTGTGGGACGGCCCGTGACCTCCTAGCGGGTCCCGGAAGTGTGGCGTCTCTCCCCGTTGTCTGCGAGCTCGGCCGGACCATGCTGACTCGGGTGAGGCCCTGGGCGGCGCGGCGCCCGGACTGAGGCCGCGGAGAGCCGGGGCGGACTGGGGTGGATGGGAGCCGCTCTGCCCAAATCCCGGCAGCCGTGCCGAAAGCCTTCCCCGCGGCGCCGTAAATAGACTTCACTGTGGAGTAATTTTACGTTGGCGCGAGCGTAGTAGCCGTGCTGATTCCTCTCTAGTGTTAACTAAAACAAACAAACAAAAAAACAAACAAAAAAACAAAACCACTTTTTTTTTAATACCTCCTGGGATTCCCTTATCATAGATTCGCCCTTAGCCTGGGCCTTACATTGGGGAAATTACCACTTTCAGAAACGCCATTTTCACGTGTAGGTAGAATATCAATAATGTTTTGCTAACACGTGAGGTATTGCTCGCAAGGCAAGAACCGGTATGTGAAGATTAGCCGAGGAGCTTTTGGCAGTAGCTGACCGTTAAGTTTCCTTCCCAGTCTGCTTCCACACGTCCATGTTCATAATGACAGCGCTGATTGGACCAGTATGCTCTTAAAGGATGGGAGGTTTAGAGGCAAAGTTACAGGGGGAGCCTGGGAGTTGGACAAGTGTGTGGGTGTGGCTGTTAACCAAAATACATTGTATACATGTATGAAATGCTCCACGAATAAATGCAGAGGTAAAGAAGAAAATTAACGTCACGTTAATGTCAAATTGCAATAAATCCGTAATATCACAATGTGTTCTTGGCGACTTTTTCTTGTCATCATAGCTGAAAGCAAATTCAGAGGGGAAGCTTGCAAAACAGATATGCAGAGTTGTGTTGGACCAGTTTGACAAACAGTATTCCAAAGAGCTTGGGGATTCCTGGAATACAGTAAGGTTAGTGTAATTCATCTCTTGATATTTTGTGACAGAACAGTGGAAGTATGTAGTGCAAGTCTTCGATGATAGTGACACCATGAAGATAATAGTTTAGTACATTTTTGGGAGGAAGGGTCCAGTAAGAATACAGGTAAAGGAGTCACTCAGCTGTCCTCCTGCTTGAGATGTAGAAAGGGGCACAGATGGTATTTAAAAAAAAAAAGGGAAAGCAAACAGAGATAGTAAAAATGAATACCCTCCTCTCCAGCAATTACTTTTTATCTGTAAAAGTGGAAATGTACTACATTGTAAAACCATGCCATAACAGAAATCCTAACTTTGAAAAAACTTAACTTTTTGAAATTCAGGATGTAAGTCCTTAAAGTCAGTGTTCCTTTCTCTCATACTCTATTTGGCAGTCATGTTCTCCGTTAAGTCTGTATTTGGAATACACCTGCACACTGACAAATCTAAATGTATTTTAAAGACGTAAGCGTATAATGCAGGAAAGTGACCAATGGGCCTGTGTGATGCTGTGGTTCAGTGGGTAGGTACAGAGAGTACTTGACATCTAAGCTGGCAACCAGAGTACGGACCTCTGTGCACAGTCATACGCCATGTCCCTGAAATAAATTCACCTTTTTTAAAGAGACAAATACCATTTGTGTGTTTGGTGAGTTTGTGCTCTTGAACAGAATGGTAGTGCATGGGGTTTTGTAAGGAGTGCCTGATATGTATCTATGAATCCCCCTGGGATACAAAGAACAGTATAGTCCTGTTTAGTTTACATACAGTCTGTTCATGGGAGAAGTGGGGAGGGTCAAGGTAAACATTCCAGAAATGTAAAGCAAGAATGGCATGTTTTATGTATTGAATGTATGGGTGCCAATATAAGCCACTGGTGACTTTGGGGTTAACTTGGTAAAAAGAACCAGACAATAAGGGCTGAGCAGGGGTTGCCTAGTCCATATTTCAAAGTAAAGAGGAAAAAGTGTTATGACCGTAGACTGTAGATAGTCTGAAATTTAGCTAAGATAGTAATTTGTCATGATTGTTTTATATCATCTCTTTGTAGATTAACTTAACTATTTCTCCTTTTCACAGAACAACTTTAAGCATATTTTGAGACAAAGACTAAGTCATGAATAAAGATAATAAAATATGATAAAATATGAAGTGGGTCAAAGATGATTTTAGGATGTTAAGATATGGAACTTATAAATATGGAAATGCAATAGTTATATTGGTACAGTTCATAATGACTTATCAAAAAATGAATAGTGAAGTATATAATGAATTCATGAGTTTTTTTAGTATGTAAAGGTATTCCTATAGACTATCTGAAGAACCACACACATTGAACGAATATTGCATGGAAACAATACCTGTTTAAGTACTCCTGAGAGCAAACTTTAGAGTTGTTTTCAGTGTTTCTGAAAACATGGCGTTAATTTGCCTAAATTCATTCAGCTGGTTAGTATGTAGCTGAGGGATTTTTGCCCAGTCTGTCTTCGTCCAGTTCTGTCTAGTACCTGAGATGTAATTAGCATTCTTGGGTGATTTAAAACAAAAGATTGTGAGAAGTATTTTATCTAGAGACTTTTTAGTAACTGGCTATTCATAACCTGTAATGAGTTGATTTTCTACTTCGTATACCCAGAAAGACTGATAAATTACTATTTGACCCTGAACAAAATGAGCAGTGAACCTCAAAGCCATTTAATTAGCAGTGCCTTCTGTTCCATCTACCCTTTTGGTAGGATTTCATGGTAACTTAAGTTTTGCATAAACATGTACTAAATTTGCCATGGGCAAAATGAAAGCTTTCTTAGAAAGGCTGGCCATGGGAGATAGCATGGGGAAATAACAGAATTGCATGTTTGCTTTATAAATATCTGCAAACATAATGGACTGTATGTAAGTATTTTTAGTTGGAGCATGTCCTCTCTCATGCTTCTCTGATGTCTATAGTGATGGGGAAGACTTTGTTTCAGGGTTTCAATAATTGCTCCTCGCTGGTTGCCTTCAAGAAGTCCATTCAGAGCAGAGCTTAAACTTTTGTTTGTGTGTGTGATGTCTTCTCACAATGTGCAGTTCTTTTTCAGATTGCATATTGCTGTGTTTTCTAGCAATTCCTCTTCCTTCTGGTCAGCATAGTCACATGCACGTCATCGTTCTCTTCTAAACCTATGTTGCTTTGAGGATTTATGTACATCCACTCTTTTGGAGGAGGCCTCGATGTCAATCTAGTCTTACTCTACTATACCCTTAGTGTCTTTGTAATAAAGGAGTTTAGTGGAAAGTGAGTGGTTTTTTTCTCTCAGCCCCTGAGAGGTGATCTCTGAGTCCTTGAAATGTACGGATACTGCCCTGATAAGAGTGTAATGTTTGCCTGGGGGCTTGTGCCTCACCTGCTAGTCTAACAATATGATTTACAGAGGGAGTTACAGACCACGGATAAGGGAACAACATCCAGAGGGCTTGGTGGCTAAAATTGGCTGTAAAGACTGTCAGTTAAGTCTCCATGACAGAATCTCCAAAAAAGCTGGGTACCTAAGATTTTGTGAGCATCCTTGGTTGGCAGTATTACCCCACATTGCTGTCAGGAAAACCTAGACATCTTGCTTCGACTGGAGCCAAGTAATTCCCATGAGTTGTCTCTTGCAAGGTGTATTGCAGTTTGAAAGCCTTTGCTGTAGTCCAGGATGCCCATAACTGCAAGCGCAGCAGTTTTTTCATTGTGTTCTATGAGTTTTGGAATGTGGCCTGACCTCTGGGATCCCTGAAGTTGTAGTTGCTGTGGAAACTGCATAGTCTTGGCAACTCTGTATCCCTGTGTTACCTCAGATCATCAACAAGAAATGGTGGCCAAAAGCTGTTGCTTCTCTCTAAGACATGTTTTGGTTTGGACACCCTTTAAGTTCTATCTCTGCTCTTTACTTAGCCTTCCTCATCTCTCTGGCACGTTGCTACTGCCCTTATCTCACAACTTCTGTATTTGCTGTTTGCTTACTTTATCCTGCACTGTCATGCACTGTGAGAGGTAACTCTCACTTTACAAACACCAGTCCTCTGAGGTATAGTTATTTCCACTCACACATAGACACACGGAGGTCAAATAATTTCAGAAGGTGTACATACCGTGTGATTGGAGAGGGCTTAGGGGTCTTTTCTTTGTTTTTTCAAGACAGGCTTTTCTCTGTGTAACAGCCCTAGCTGTCCTGGAACTCACTCTGTAAACCAGCCGGCCTCGAACTCACAGGGATCCGCCTGTCTGCCTCCCCAGTGCTGTGATAAAGGTCTGGGCCACCACAGCCCAGCTTGTGAATTATTCTTAATCACTCTGCTGTGCTGCTTCCCAGCGCTGCCACCCTCCATTGTGTCACCCTGTCCACAGACCCTCTGAGCCTTCACTATGTGCGGTGTCACATTTGAACCCAAACCACAGGAGTGAAGAGGCTCTTTTGGGCCTTTGGTACTAGATATGCTGCCCCTCCCCCTGCAGGTATACCCTTCCTTCCTTCTGGTAGTTACGGGTGTGGGTTCAAAGCTCTCAGCATTTTCTAACGAGTAACTTGGACGAGTTATTGAAAACCTGCCACACTGCCCAGATCTGTAGAACAAGCAGAATGATACCTATTCCGTGTAATTACTTTAGAAGAGAAAATGAATTCTCATAAATGTATACACCATTGGTTCTCAACCTTCCTAATGCAGTGACTCCTAAATACTTAACACAGTTCCCCATGTTGTCGTGACGTTATTTTCGTTGCTTCATTGTAAGAATAATTTTGCTACTGTTATGAATCATGATGTAAATATCTAAGTTTTGCAATGGTCTTAGGAAGCATTACCAGGAAAAGGTGAGAAGCCTTCAGCCCCTGTTAAAATCTGAAGAATAAAAAGGAAATGCCTCGGAAACAACTTCAAGTGTTCCCATGAGGCCAACCCTCAAAGTGGTCTAGGGAACTCCCTCTAGTGGACAGCGAGGACTTTGGTACAAGGACTCCAACCCTTGAAATTTAAATCGTAATAGCTGCTCTACTTCTTGCTGGAGAGGAAGGTTAGGCAGAGAACAAAGTAGCGGGAGAAAGAGAATGTCACAGAAAAGCTAAATGAAGATTGCATTACCAAATATGTAATGTTTCAACATTTTCCTTTTTTAAGTGCTTGGCTTTAGTTAAAATAGAAATTATAGGGGTCAAGGTATATCTCATTGGTAGAGTGCATGGTCAGCATCCATGAGACCCTGGGTTTTATCACAGACATCACATATAGAGTAAGAGTCATGGGTAAGAAACCTGGGAATAAAGCTGGTTCTTTTACATCATCCAGAAGCCCGAGCACCCAGCAGTTAGAGAGAATTGAGTTACAGCCCGCTTTCAAACCAGCTGGAGGAAAATAGCCAAGCTGACAGTGGGATCCTTGCTAATGTGATTCATTGACTTTCTCAGAGGTCAGTCATTCTTGTGTAAGTTTAGTTTGTTTGTTTTTACTATCTTTTTAAGACACTTTACATAATATTTAAACATAAAAATGTTTATCTTGTAAATAGCACATAGCCAGAGCATAGTGTTTATTTAGAGAATGAATCTTAGGAAGACAATGATTTGGCATGTTGTAGTAAGAATAGGAAACATTGCTAGGTGTGGTGGTATGTATACACCTTTAATCCCAGTACTTGGGAGGCAGAGGCAGGCGAATCTCAGCGAGTATGAGGCCAGCCTGGTCTACAAAGCAAGTTCCAGGACAACCAGAGCTACACAAAGAAATCCTGTCTCGAAAAAAACCCAAACAAACAAACAAAAAAAGACTTCCACAGGTGTAAACAGTCACATCAGGTTTCAGCAGTGTTCAAGCCCTTTCAGAAGAGTGCCGTCCCATCTCCCTAAGCCAGTACATACTCTTGCTTTCCCAACCTGACTTTCAGTGGTTCTCCTATTGTTAGCATTCGGGCATCAGTACTGGCCTGTCCTTGGGGTTCTGACAGGATATGCTCTCAGCTGCAGCCACTAAGA